TAGCACCTCCTTGATGTGTTTCAAGCCAGCCCGCTGTGGAAACCAAAGAAACTAGTTTTACACATGCAAAATAGAGGACTAACAGTCCAAAACAATCAATCATCATGCACGTCGGCAACTGTTCTGGCCATTGTAAGGCTGCCCGGCTCGTGTGAAGGAATGTACCTTGGTGAGCACTCAGACTCAAATGCTGTGTGAGCTGAACCGTAAGCTGGACACAATTTCTGGGAATTGCAGGCCACTTGCAGCTCTTGAAACTCGCTGGCAAAAAGGAATTGACCTTGGAGAAGTTACAAGCTCGGCCTGACCACAAAATTTGGCTGTTTGGAGTCGCCATTGAGTCGTACCAGTAGAACTATAAGGCAGACAAAAATCAAGCAGAGTCCGTCTGACCCAAAATAACTGTTATCTGAATCTGGCTCCCCAGTGTCGGCCTTGAATTGGCCAACTATCCCAAGCTCTGCTGGATGTTATGTGAACAAGAAGCTCTGCACCCCCACCCCCACTTCCCGAGGACATCTGTGGACCTGTGTCAGAGCTGAGCTGCTGATAGACACTGCACCATCTCTTATTAATATACTATGGAGCTATAGAACTATTTGGCAGTGTCCACGGACAAGCTCACCGCCTTTGTCATCCTTCCTCATGCATATGTATTATAATGTCATCAATATGTTGCTATTTCTGTGCTGAGGGTTGTTGTTTTTTTGCAACTTTCACACTGTGTCCCATCTAGAACACAGTGTGAGATATGATTATTTTTTGTACACCTCCTCTTCCCTCGTGTTTCTCTTTTTCTTATCTAACCAAAAAGGGCAGCGCCTCCCATGAAGTCGCAGCCTCAGACACCTCTGTCTCCCCATGTCTGTTTGTTTGTGTTTTACTTGGACGGGCTATACTGAAATGTAATTTTTTTGTGCTTTGGTGCCATGACAATAAAGCTGATTCTGATAAGAATCAAGTGTTTTAGGCCAGATGGCCAACTTCCTACTTACAGAAACAGCCTGAGTAACACCAAGGCCAAAATGATAAAAAAATAAAAAAAAAGATTTGTAAGCTTTAACCTTTTTTTGTGATTTATCTACCTGGATGACTGAGCTTACAAACCTCCTGTGTGAAACAGATCTGGGTTGGCAGGCCTCAGACTGATGAAGTCTTCCGGATGGAAGATGAAACGTTTCTCATTTAAAGAAAATTGTCCAGATGACATAATTTAAATTTACCTTTTTAACAACATTTATCAAAGATGAAATGGAGAAGAAAAAAAAAACACAGTGTGAGCACTGTTCACAAACATATGCAGAAAAATTATAATGTGTTTCATTATAAACATTTTGAAGTGTGTGTGCAGCTGAAGTAGTTTGGTGTTTTCTTTTTGCACTGGTCTGATAAATGGGTGAACCTTTTTTGTGGTCATGGCACATAATTTATGGGTGGGAGCGATGCAGCACAATGTATGCACAAAGAGCAGACTGAAGTAAATCTAAGAGGCAGTGAATCCCTGTCAGTGGCCCCCAGCGCCCCTTCATTAAGTCAGTGTGTAATTGTTGGGTCATTAGCAAAGGTTCATTTATTTTAATATGCTATTTGAACTTTACTTCTTTAATTATACTGTATATCACAAAATGTGACTTTGTCAGGTTTTATTTCATAAATGTTACAATAAAATGCATGGATAATTATCCTGTGCAAAACACATTTTAAACAAGAAGCTGTAGGAGCAGATTGAATTTTTTTGGATTTTTTTACCTGGATTATTGAGCATGCATCAGGATAAGAAGCTGTAATGTTCATTCTAGAGTTCTAGAGTTGCGCCGCTCTGGGTGGCTGCATGTTGGAGCAGCTCTGTTACTGTCATTCTGAGATTTTGCTTTTGGAAACTTTAATTCCTCTTTTTCTGGATATAAATCACTTTATTTGGATGATTGTTTCCTCTGGTATCAGATGCTGTGCAGCTGGAAGAATTTTTACTGAAACTTTTTTAGTTTTGGACATTTGTTATGATGCGTAACCATGGCAACAAGGCAGTTTTCTACAAACAACAGCAGCTGATTAACATCTCCAAAGCTCAAATAATATCTCAACTATGGCCCCAAATCTCAAATAAGTTGAAAAGGATGTTCTGTGGACGCATTCTCATCTACCTGCCAGCTGTGCTCAAGTGCCTGACCACTGAGATCCTCGAACTAGCAGGAAACACGGCTCTTGACAGTGGAAGGACAGGATCGTCCCTCGGCACCTACAGTTGGCTGTCAGCAGCGACGAGCACGGCAGACTGCTGGGAGGAGTGACCATCGCACTGGGAGGAGTTCCGCCCGGCATTCGGGCTGTCCTACAGCCCGGGGGAACCAAGAGGCCAGCAGAGTCTGGGTGGATGGATCGGACGGCATCTGCTGCCAGTTTCTTAGGATCCACTGTGGGATGGACCTTCACAAGAGATCCTTCCTGCCTACAACCATCAGTATCTATAACATCTCTTAATGAAATGAGGATAACGAGTTACAACAAGAAATAATTTCCCTTTGGGATTAATAAAGTATTTTTGAATTTGAATTTGAATTCTATATTTCTATTAGATGACATCTGAAAAGCCTTCAGTGAAAAATGTAAGTTATTTTTATTGAAAATAAAACACAATTAAGACTCATCTTTGCCTGATTTTCAATCTTCAAACAGTTGATGTCAGGTGGTTTAATTGTGTTTTCATAAGTGTCACAGTGCATTTATAACAGGATGTTAGGACGAAAATAAGACATTTTATCGTTGCTTATACACATGATCCACCTGGAAAACTTTAAGCTGACTTACAAACTCTTTATGAAGAACTTTCCGCAGAGCTGGTTTTATTTTTAAAGACCTAAAGAATATTGCCCATCAAATGTTTATAAGTGATTAAAAAAGTTTGTGAAGTAAGCGTTACCTACAGCGTATGCGGAGGTTTAATCATGATGTGGTGTTACTTGGTCTCTTCTGGTGCTGAGTGCTGTAAACTTGTCCAATGAACAATGGGATTAGAATATTATCCCAAAATGTGGGAAAATTGTTTTAAAATAACCTTGGAGTGTTTCAGCAGATAGGATCTGAAGTGTGAGGTCAAAAAACGTCTAATTTCTTTAAAACAAAACTTTCCTACATAAACAGAATCTGCATGTTGCTGATAATGTTTAAGTGTTTTGACTTCAGTTTTAACTTAAAAAGCAAACTGTCTGGACATTTCTTTGTCCTGGGTTGTCGTAAACACTTTTGTCTTCTTCTTCTTGTTTTTTTAGCAGAATCGCCCTTTTCCGCCAGTGATCAGCAAAATGAGTCAAGCAGAGATGTTTGTTCGTTTCAGGGAACCCAGCATTAACTGGATACCTTTGCACCATAGTAACAACAGAGGAGTTAACCAGTAAGGGCTGTTTTCCAGATCACTATAGTGACTGGCTAAACCCCTGGAAAGCTTCCAGCATGGCCACTTTTGTAAAGGCCTCCCTCGCTCACTCTCTTTCTCTCCCTGCCTTTGTCTCAATTTTTGCACGGTTTGTTTGCAGGGAATGATTTGAGTCAGGACCAGAAAGAGGAAACACTTGAACACACCAAGAGCACAAGCATTTAGGACTACTTTCCTTTGCCTTGCCAAATAATTAAATGTAACTTGTAAATAATATAATATATTGTGAAAAATCACTTGTTTTCAAAGAAACACCTTCCTCGATAAAATCCTGCTTGAGAATGCATTTTCTCTGCCTGCTCACAACACAACAATGTCAAATGGTAAAACTAAGCTAATGTGAACAAATCTGATCTTTAACGCCTTTTGAGATTGAGTAAATTTATAACATCATTAGTAAACACACCAAGCATTTCAACTCTTCAGATTTTCTTTATTTAAAATGAGTTCAAATGCAGAGTCAGTGTGTAAAAAAAAAAATGCATCCTTAATTGTTATACAGTGTTCATGGGAAATAGAAGGTTAAGCAGCCATGAAGTGCTGCCAGTGTGCAAAACAGCAACAATAAGTCTCTGCTGGACCTGCTAGAAACAAAAAGTGCAAAACAGTGAGGACATTTGCTTCAAGTTATCTCATTTGTAGTGCAGCAGAGGAAGAATAAAGACTGCAGTGTACATAGTGCTGTTCTCAGCTGCACATGAAAAAACACATTTTATATTACGCTCTTCAGCTGCATTAGGTGTGTTTTTTGTATTTTAGTGGTTCCAAAGTCAGAGCGGGACTGGCACAGGTTAATCAAGAGCTCCTTCATCTAATACAAGAGTTAAATGGTTAAAATGATTAAGTTTATATAGAGGATAAATGATCTTGAGGCGTGTTGTTGTTATTTTGAGACACATTCTCAGTTGTGTTGGGTTCATCAGACGTTATCTTCTGATACTTTCACTTGAGAACGGCCCAGCTGAGGAGGATCAAGCATCAATGTACATCCCATACCTTAGCTGGTATGTTGCAGGGTTGAAGTTAGGACAGACTTGGTTTTTAGGTTAGAGGTAGACTTTTAAATAGGTTGGTCAGTTTGTTTGTTTGTTTATCTCACACTACTTGTATTTCTTTTGTTACTCTGGTACTTGGAAAACTAATTTTCTGTAGAAAAAAAATGTTTTAAATAAACTTTGATTTACCTCATTTGGTGAAGATAAGGGGTTAATAAATTATGAACACATACATACTGTCTTCTGAATAATCACAGAAACAAACAAAAAAAAACCATTGTAATATTTTCTCCTAAATATTGGAAGTGTTTCTACCTTTGCATCGCACAATACAGCACTGATCTGTTAAATCTGATCTGGAAAAAATAATATCTATAAATGAATTGAATCATGAAGCTATGGTATGTATAAAAATATTTTAACAACCAAGATAAGTGCGAGGCACAACACTCCTCAGTCATTGCACAGATCTATGTGGTTATAAAAAAGTCTTTTTCTAGCAGCATCACAAGAAACCAATTCCCACAACAATAACAATGTGCCATGTTTCTGTGAAATACAGTGTCCTGCTCTTACAGTATTGGGCAGTACTGTCCACATCTTAAATGCGGTAATTCCACCGAGTCCTGAGTCTGTAGTGCACCTTGTGCTCCTCTAGATGTCCTCCTTGTCTGTCTCACAGCTGAGGATTCACCCTCAGGATGCACTTTCCTGTCTGGGATTTGAAACTCTACTGATGCGAATGACGACAGACTGCCATTTCTGTTTGCCCAAGTTTTGGAAGTGTCAACAATAGGTGACACCCTAAAGCCTTTTCCTTTCACACAGCTGGAGCTTTGTTTCCCACTCCTGATGCTGACGTCATCTAAGAAGGGGTCTGAGTCACTTCCATGAGGCATGTTGAAGTAGTTGCACTTTGGATTTAGAGGTTTCGCCATCTCCTCAAGCTCTGATGAGGATATGGCTGCAAGGGGACTGTGCTGGGTTTTGGTGTAAGGCAGGGAGTCCTCGCTTGAGTTCTCCTGAGCTGTGTCAACAGATGTGCTATCCAAATGACCATACATGCCCGGGGAAGCTGGAGGAGATTTTCTTATGAGGTGGTTCTCCTTTAGGAGCCATCTTCCTCGATCAATCAGAACCCCATCAGCTGTATCTTTATCAAGGGACGAAGTGGTGCATTGTGCATTTTGTGTCTCAGCTTCAGCGTCTGCTCTTAATGAGCTCGCTGCACTGAAATAAGAGAGATCTTCCCTTGAAGCTTTAATATCTGCATTACAGGATGAAAAACTCCCCGTGTTTTTTATTTGGAAGCTGTGCACGGTTTCTGAGCTGCTTGCAGCAGACAGTTTTGAGCCATCTCGCTTCACATGTGCTGTCTCAGCCTTACATGCTAAATGAGTGTTAAATGAAGGTTTCCCTGAAGACTCTTCTCCACTTGAGGTGATATCTACAGACTCCTGAGTTTTATATCCTCCGCTCCCTGATGTCTCAGGTCTGTAATCAGACAAATCAGACGTGATCGGGCTTGGAAGAGATTTAAAACCATAAGTGGTGTCTTTTATGGCTTTTGGTATCATACTTTGTTTTGTTTGTACAACTCTAGCATTGTCAGGCACTATCCTAATGTTCCCCTGAAGGTCATATGTGAATATAAGGGAATAAGACTGGAGGGCATCGTTCACAAAATCAAGTAACTCCTGGGAAATTTCCACAGGATGAGATAGACTGCCGTGCTCATCGTCTCCCTCATCTGTTTCATGAGCAGTTTCTGTACCTTTGTCATCCACACACTGGCCTTGAGAAGAATCCTTTGAAGGAGATTCAGTGTTATGTTCTACGCTTGCTTCTTCACAGCTGCGTGTACGCTGCTGCTGAAAAGAAGCCTCTTCGAACGTGTTTTTACAAATCTCATTATCAACTAAACTGTTTTCAGAAACGTTCTCCTCTGCTACCTCATCATCTAACGTCTCTACCTGCTTTAATCTCTCGTTTAGTACGTTTTCTTCTCCATCAGGCTGCACTGTTGGTATGTTTTCGGCAGTCTCTAACTTATCTAATTCCTCTTCTTCTGCTGATCCTTTCTCAGAAACGCTCTCGTCATCTTCATCTTGATTACAATGTTCTTCATCTGTGTTGTTCTGAGTATCATTTATTTCTTCTTGATCACTCTCTTCTTCCTCATCTTCATTACTGTTTCCCTCGCTGGCCTCCTTTGTTACATGCCTTCTTTCTCCTTTTTCTTTTGCCTCTACTTCATCCCCAACTGTTTCTTCTACGGCCTCCTCATCTGTTTCTCTGTGCTCCTCCAGGTCTTCTACTACATGTTTTTCTTGAACAACTTTCTTCTTTCCCTCAGAGACTTGTTGCACTTCCTCTTCTGCATCCTCAGTAACACAGTTTTTCTCTTCCTCTTCCCTCTCATTAGTTATATCCTCAGCCATACCATGTTCATTGCATACTTGCTTCTCTTCATATTCTTCTTCTACACTGTCCTCTTCCTTCTCTACATCCTCACAACACAAATTGTCTTCTTCCTCTTCTTCCCCCTCATTATCATCTTTATTATTTACTGGCTTTTCTTCAGGTTCTTCTACTCTGTGCTCGACATCCTCTGCATTCTCATAAGAATCTTCTTTGTCCTCTGCCTCTCTCTCATTAATTAAAGTTTCTGCACTATCACTTTCATCCTGCAGTTGCGTTTCACTTGGTTGTTTGGCACTGTGTTTGTCCTCTTCTATATCCTCACTACAAGAGTTGTTTCCTTCATTTTCCTCATTCTCATTGATTAAAGTCTCTGCCTCATCTTGATCATTTTGTTCCCATTCCTCACTGTTTTCTGCTCCCTCTTCACTAGAAGAGTCTTCTCCTTTTTCTTGCCCCTCTTCACTTATAGTTCTTGCTTCATCTTCTTCATCCTGATCCCTTTCCTCACTGTTTTCTTCCACCGTCTCATCAGCACCCTCTCTCTCATCTGTATCTTCATCATTTCCTGTCTCCTCATCCACCGATCCCATATCTTTTCCCCCAGTTTCTATTTTACCTCCTTCCTCTAAGTTATTGTTTATGACCCCTTCATCCCCCGTCATTTCTTCCTCTGTCCCTTCCTCTCCTTTCTCAACGGACTCCTGGTCACTGGATTTCTCTTCCTCTGAATCTTCCTGATTCTCATTCTTTCCTTGCTTCTCTATGTCCACCCTACTTTCATCCTCATCCCCTCGTAATTCTTCTTCATCTTTCTTTTCATCAGCATATCTCTCTTTGGTATAATCCCCAGTCTTTACAATCTCCTCTACCACATCTTCATTTTTCAATGACTCGTCTGTCTCAGTGTGGAACTCCTGAGCTTCATCTGGTTCATTAGTTTCCTGTTTTGTCTCATTTATGCCGTCAGCTGTACTTTCCGGCTCTGCTAAAATTTTAGTTTCATCTTTGCATTCACTAATAAATTTCTCCACGTCTTCCTCCGAGTCTGACTGGCTTTTAATTGTCTCAACAAACGTGCTGTCCTCTGCAGGGTAAAAGCTTTTTGTGTGTTGGATTGTTGAAGCAATTTCCTCTCTGAGGTCTTGCGGCATGTTCAGCTCTTCCATCAGCTCGTCAATGACCAACTGCTGATCCTCAAACAGATCCCCGCCTTCAGATGTGACATCCAGCGCAAACTCAGTCTCTGAAACTTTGGGGGAAAGTGGTTCACTCTCGAGCCTTTCTCTGAGAAGTATGAAATCCTTCCAGCGCTCCCTGAACTGAGAAGACGCTTGGCTTTGCAAATCGGTCAGGCTTGCCCTCTGCTCGTCTTCGTCCTCGATGGCAGAGATCTTTTTCAGGGATTCCATCATTAACATGGCCTCTGATGTGGTTCTTGACTGGTTACCCTCCCCTGATGTGGTGCCTGTAAGGCTGTCTCTCAGAGACGCTACCGATAAGAATGACAGAAATGCTTTACACGATGAGCCAAACACTGAGACAACTTGTGTTGAGAAATTGGGAAGGCTGCTGGAATTCTGAAGACTGGATGTTGTGTTACTGGTTGATGCTTTTCTGATGCTCTGAATCGATGAGCAAAGCTGCTGAAGAACAGGTCTTATTGCGTTTTTAGGACTTAAAAAGTTAGATGACGACATGTCGCCATCGTCTGGGCCGATTGCCTCTGCAGATTTGTGTGACCTGAGTGTGTTTTCAGGGCGTACTGGATCAACTCTGACACTTGGCATTGAAACACATAAACCTCGCACCCTCTGCTCACCATGCAGCAGAGATGTTGGTGGCTCGTCTAGGAAATGAGGAACTGACAGACAAGAGGAGGATTTCTTTATTGCATCCCCTAAATTAGTCTGAGGTTCTTTTATTTCATCAGATTCAGAGTCATCGCCTATCTTAAATACAACCCTTGCCTTTGATTCTGCTTCTTCTGTGACTACATCCTCAGTGTACGGCACCATGTCTGGACTGACGTTTTCTAACCAGTTCTCAACGTATTGATGGATTTCTGCAGGTGAGGGATTGAGAGAAGGTATTGAACCACCCTCGCTGGGTTCTACATTCACTTTGGGTGGTGATAGTCGGCATTCAGTCAGAGACTTTGGTCTGTTGATTGTCATTGTGCTTGACAAAGGGGATTTTTTTGTTTGTAAAAAATCGGACATGTTCTTTTTTATTTGGGGTCTTCCAGTTGGGGTATTTAGATTGTGGTCATTGTCTTTTGCTGCTGCTCTGTTTGTGTTTTTTCTCTTAGGTGAGGTTATTTTACCATTTCCTGAGTGAAGGGATAAGGCCGAGCCCTTCTTGGCCGTCTTTTCATCTTTCATTGATTTTTTTGATTGAGACTTTTCTACTTTCTTTTCTATTTCTTTGTTTTGTAGACCATTTTTCGAATTCCCAGATGAATTCAGACTCTTTTTGCCAGCACTAGCATCACTGCTCAGCTTATCAGTAGATGAAGTTTTACTATGTTTGGAGGCACTGATTTCTTTGCGTTTTTTATCCGTGCTGTTTGTTGAAGCTGAACTTCGCTGATTCCCTGCTGGCCTCATCACCTTTTTCTTCTTAATGCTTTTAGGAGTAGTATCTCTTTTTACTTTCTCTGTAATTTGTGTGTTGACAGCTTCGCTTTCAGTCAATGAAGATGGATTGTTTGTAACCTGATATGCCAGTGATTCTGGCCCTGATGACAGTGAAAGCATCTCCTCTTTCTGCCTCTGTAGTGACTCATTAGTGGGCGGCTGCCAGTTACAATCTATATCACAGTCATTGCTGGAGGAGCGAGGCCTCAAGTCAGTGGATGGTTTGCTTTCTGCTCCATCTGCACTGTACTCCTCATTCGCAACATAGTTGTCATAACAGCCCTGACTCTCATAAATATGCATCACAGTCTCTGTAACCTCCATTCCATCATTCTGTATCTGAAGGGCCTCAGCTACCTCAGATGTTCTAATGGAGGAGCGTTTGTTGCTCACACCTGATGACGCTGTTCTTCGAGGTTTTGGAATGGGCACGTTACTGCTGCTGCTGCTGTGTTTGACAATGCAGTATTCCTCAGTGGTCTCACCATCTTCAGTCCTCTCCCTGTAGGAGTAATGTCCCATGGTGCTCTCTTGAACCTCTGTTTCTGTAACCACCTTTACATTCTCAACAGATGCCTTCTCGTTAACGTGTCGGGGACCCGGCGTAGGAGCACGTTTTAATCTTGTTTTTGATTTCCCCAAAGTTGTCGAAGTGTAGCTTTCATTGAATCTGACAAGTCCATCATTGCAATTCTCCTCCTTTGTTTCATCCTCCTGAATGCTTGAGGAGTCTTTGGCAACAGTGATGTTTGAGTCAGGGGAGTTGTTTCCTGACCCGGAAATAGAGGCACAAATTGTCCTCTTGCTAAGGCTGGAGCGGCTGAGGGTGGTCGACCAGTAAAGCATCTCCTCCTCCTTAATTGTCAAACGGACTTTCATCTCCACGGTCATACTTCCATCTGGATTCACTCGGAAAGACTTTTCAATGTCATCATCATGAGGCGCAATACAAGCACTGTGCTCATTATCCTCCCTTCCAGTTACACACGTTTCCATGGGTGAGCGATGCTGACGGACTTCTGTATCCATCGACTCACTGGGATGGTGCAGGTGGCCATTCAAGCTTCCATTCTGGGACTCGTTTATCTGATTTACAATGAATCGCTCTGAAGAGAGGGAGAAGTTCCTTGAGCGTCTTCCACTTGAGAAAGATGTGTTCTTCTCTTGTTGATGAAAACACAGACGTTTGTAAGAAAAACAAAGGAGACAAAAAGAGAAAAAATATATATAAATTTTTTGAACAAGCATCAGAAAATATACAGGTTTCACAAAAACATTTAAAAAAATGACTTGTCAGAAAATGTGTTTTCAAGTTGTTTGTTATTTGATAAACAGAGTTGTTTTCTTCTGTTGGTCCTTGTTTGTTTGCTGTGTTGGATAGTTTCAGGCTACAGCTTAACCCCTGGTGAACAGTGGCTATGAGAGCTGAGCCTACAATTAAGATGTAATAATATAGCAACCTAGTAAATTCTAACATCAGACACTACAGCCAGGGACCAATTATGTTATTTTACTTTCAGTGTTACAAGCCAATTATGTTCTTTTACTTTCAGTGTTACAAGCCAGACACTTGTAAAGAAAAGGCTTTACCATTTTTAGACATTAGTTACAATATCTGACTTAGGGTGTCAGTTTATTTTACAGTCACTAACAACAACCTGAACATAAATGCAAACCCAACACTAAACAGAACAACAAGCTGGGACAATCCATCTGAACACAACCTGAAAAAATCCACCCATTTCTGTCCAAAGACTACCCAGCATGCCCTGCGGCTCACTCAGTTTGTTGCATTCAAGTACAACATGTAATTTCAAAATTTTCAATTCAATTTAACAATAATTCACAGATCTTACCATTTCTGTAAAATGTTATCAAGTTATGAAACTAAAACAACTGTAATATTGAAAATTATCTATGTAATCCTAAATGGGATATTTACCCTTCATTGTTTTAGAGCACATGAACAGTTCTTAACTCAAGACAGAGAGAAAGAAGCTGGTGGTAATGA